AGTTTCATAAGAGAAGGGTTCAGAAATACTTTGGGGCATAATATCCTTAGTGTGGCATTATCTGATGCAGAATAGTTCGAATATTTATGCCCTGCATAACATCAGCCTTATGGTCCTCACTGATAGACGTTAGGCATTTTATTTGCTCTTTATTTATTTTATTTACATCCTGCCTTTATTATTTTTATAAACAACACACGGTGGTGAACACATCTATATTCCATTCTCCTATTTTGCCCACAATAACAAATATGTGAGGTGACTTGTGCTGAGAGAGGAGGGGGAGGAGGGAGGGAGGGAGAGGGAGGGAGAGACTCTCTCAAGGTCATCCAGCCAGCTTTCACACCTAAGGCAGGATTAGAACTCAACATTGTCCTACTTTCTAATCTGATGGCCTAACCATATTCTCTCTAATTGTGATGGGTACTTACATTCTGGATGTTACTTCCTTTACGATTTTTAAAATAGAAAACAGGTTGCTTTGATATTAATAATGAGGCAATTAATTGGATGACATTCACCACAAATGTCACTTTTCTTGCAGAACAGAGTTTCGTTTTTTATTATTAATTTTTCGGAAAATTATTGTGATTTGTATTGTTGCCTATATCTAAATTATTCATTCCTGAAGCTAATTTCAAAATGACTTCTGATATTGCTTAGAATTTTGGTTAACTGTCTAAACACTACTGAAAGGAATCTTATAAAAAAAAACTCTTAAATGTTTTATATATTATTTTATACCAGTTTTAAACATAGATGACCTATGTTTTTCAAAAGACTGTTTTCGGGGCCGTTTTGAACACATGGAACAAAATCAATCTTGTATCACTTCAATAATGTTACAAACCCACAGGATTACATTACTGACATAATCTGTAAACCATTGAATATTTTCCCAGATACTTTTTGATTATCTGGAGTTTTTAATTTACAGAAACAACGAGAAATAAATAAATAAATTTGAAAATTAAAATATGAGCTATCTATAGATTTGGGCAAGAAGTAAAATTCAAAACTTAAATACTAGACTCAAAAGAAGAAAGTTCTCGCATTGGATTCACTTTCATCCCTCCTATTTCATCATAAAAAGGTTAGGAAGTACAATAATTACTTGAGATGCCATTTTAAGCCTAGACCAAAATCTAAGCATGGAAGATAGGCTGAAATTACAGGGAAGCGGAACCAATGACACATTCTTTATAACTAACTTCCAATTATTACACCATCACCTCACCCCCACAACTTAGTGAGGGCACAGTTGCATGAATTGGCCCTCCAGCATCTGATTAGAGTTGGGAAGAAATAATTTGAGAATCTGATTTTAGAACTATAAGAATGTTGAAAACAATGGAGAGAAACTGTGTAGGTGTCTTAGTAAGAATAAAATTTCTTCATTTGTTGTGCAATGTGGTGAAATATTTCATGAGTTAAGCAATAGCCAAACATGGCCAGGCCTTTATGATAGGGTGCTGGGAAAAGCCAGAAAAACGCTGTATAATTTCAAGATGTTATTGATTGAAAATGCTGTGGTACACCACTAGACGTACTGATTCATCCGTTTGGCTATTGCTATCATTGCTATTATCAGAGAATCTTATAATCAGGTTACTTGTGGTATTTTGTTTTCAGAAGATTATATGGACTGTGTTTCTTTTTTTTTCAATTGGTTGAAAGTAGAAGGTGGAATCCAAAAAAGCTGTCTGAAGGACTAAAACTACCATCTGTCCAACAGAAACTTCATTCAGATTAGTCTACTTTTCTAAACTCTCACAATAAATAAAAAGAACTATAGGACCAAATCCATAGTTAGATTAGAGGAGAGAAGGAATAGAAGCATTTCATCCACTTTTTTTCTGAAAGAAGATTTAGATAAAGTAAAATTGGTAACAAAGAATAGCAGTTAAGAATATGAAATCCTAAATAAAAAATATATTTTAGCTATCAACTCAATGGGAAGAGTTAATAAAACTATTTGTCCTATCCACTCTGCTAAGCCCCTTGGTAAAAATATATAACAACGGTATTAATGAATTATTGTTAACAATTATGTAAATATGCATTTAAAAGAGTATTAAGAGACTAGGTTAATAAAGTTAATAAAGGCCAACATTGTTATTTAAAATAATAGGAAACAATCACTTTATTACTGTTCTTCACACAAACTTGTTTGGATTTTTTTCAAATTAATATCATTAATTTCAAGAGTCAATGATATAAACAGAAGTCATATAGCATTATGGGATCATTATATTTTTCTAACTCTACTGAATAGTACAAATATAGTTTTGAATATTATACACATATACACATCCCTTAATGACTATAGAAACACACATGTGTATGGCTGGAACCTAATCATATTGCTAATATAATTCCTTCATAATTAATCTAGAGTTTTTTTCTAGCAGTATTTAGACCTGCTCTGCTTGCTTCCATCTTTAGAATGGAAGGAAATTTTTTTTTTGTAAATATCCTACCCTCTGCAACCATACCATCATTTCCTTTATTTTCTGGAAGCTCTCCAAATCTCTGGAGCAGGCTTTCAGAGGATCGCAAAGGAAAGGAGTAGCTGAATAAGTATGATTTCTTGCCCACTTCAAGTAGTGGAAATGTTTTATTGGATCAGAAGTCTGCCATAGGAACCCCCCCGCCAAAAAAGTTTTTCTGCAATAAAATTTTGCTAGATCCAGCCCATTCCTCTGCCTAGGAATACAATGGAAGTTCTATGCTTTAGTCCATCTAAATTATATCCACCTCATTTCAAGACCTCCAAGATAACTGAAAAATGTGTTATTATTGTAACTAAACATAAAGCCCTTTGGGAACATCAGATTATGCCAGATATACCTATACCAGTCTCAGATGTTGCCTTACCACTTAATGTAGTACAAATTAGACAGCTCAGCACAAGATGTTAGGCAACTTTTTCTAAATTAATCAGATGACAGCTAGGCTTTCTAAAGAGAAGAAAGTAATAAAGTGTTTTTTTTTTCTTAAGCAGAAGTCTATATTATACCATTCTTGGCATTTTAGAATTGTTAAAATTCAGTGAGATTCTGGCTATGTCGTATGGAGTACAAAGTAACAATCACGAGGTAAAGCAGTTATTTAAAAAGTTGATAATTCTATACTATTAACAATTTGTTTTCAGAAATAACTAATGTAAGCTGTGCCTTGTAACAAGAAAGAAAGTGGTTCCGTGTAGACAGATTCAATATTTAAAGTTTTGGATTAGTAGTGATGTTGGATGAATATATCTGAAGTATGATTAAAAACAAAAATAATAGGGAACAATTAGGCAGATGGTACACAAAGCAAAGTTTCTGATCTTTGAGAGAATGGCATTGTCCGATAAGTGCTAGCATTTACTTACGGATTCTCAAAATTTATAACCCACACAGTATGAATTTTATTATTCCCTGTAGTGAAATCCATACAGTATGTTGCAGAATCATCCCAGCATTTAAAATTAGGTATTGGCCACTCAAATATAAAATGCAATCCTGGCTCCTGAAGAATATGTATGCATACCATCTGCAGTCATAAGCATGAAAATGTCAAACATCCGGTTATCCATGTATTGTTTCATTTATCATGCATGCAGAACAAAGCTATTTGCTGATGCATAAGACAAGAAGCAATATAAGGCTGCAACCTTAAGTAATTTATCTGGGGGTAAAGCCCACTGAAAAGAAAGTTATTCTTCAGAATAAACAAGCCATGCGATCATCTTGTTCTACTGTCTTCTTGCACCTGCCATGCCAATCCTAAGTGATACCCTTCTGTATCAATTAGACACATTCGATATAAATCTACTGGCTAATTTTTACATTTTTTCATCCCCTTTTTGAAATAAACTGTTAGTTTGGGATTTAGACTTAAGGAACCGCACCATGAAACTTGGAATGTATTATCAGGAAAGATCTGACTTCCACAAAAAAGGCAAATAGATAGAAAGACAAAAAAAAAAAAAAGAAGGGGGAGAGGAGGGAGAAAGAAGGAAGAAAATTCCTAAAGATTTATTAACAGTGCATTCCTTTTCACAGTGCAAATGATGCAACTGGGTCATACTTTTAGTCTCGTTTCCCCCAATTTGCATTGGCTACCCATTTTCAGATGCATTGACTATCCACTTTCAGTCACTCTCAATCAGCATAGCCAGTCAACTTGGCACCTCCACAGAAACGAGATTAATGGCTGGCGGAGTTATGGTAAGCATACTTCAGGTGTTACACTTAGAGTAAGCACTTTCCAAACTTTTAAATGTAGAGCAGCTTGTCGGCAGTAGCTCCTTCTTCTTGGTTATGTTCACAGTCAATACTTTAGAACAGCCCTGCAGCAACCACCTCCAGTTCGGTGCTAACCTGGCTTTGATTTAGCACCAGCTTTCAGGGGAAGAATTTAGGGCTCGTTCTAAAATACTTGGTAAGCTTCCACTATCTACTCTCATTAGAAGGCTGTCTAATATTTTAAAAAAATTAAAAGGAGACGGAACAGCATCTCTGGAAATGGTGCGGCTGTTTCTTCTGTACTTATGACTTGGGGCTCCCCCCCAAAATGTGGGATGAGGAAAAAGCCCCCCCTTCCAATGTCTAGTAAAAGGATTCCGTTTGAGTTTGCCGCCTCCTGTCACGCAGCCACTGGCTTTAGACAAGATAAGAGAGAGACAGAGAGAGAGAGACGGAGCCATTTTGACCGTTGTGTGACAGTGACAAACCAAGGAGGAATTTGGGGGAATGGGGTGGAGAGGAGCCCCCCTCTCGAGAACCTGGATGGGAAGGTGATGAGGACGGCAGAGACGCCGTTGGCCGCAAACAACAGCGGCAGCCGGGCCGGCGGAGATGGAGAAGAGAGAGGCAGGTGCTGCATAGCCAGGAGCGCTAACGGGAAAGCAGGCCAAGTGCCGGCGCATCGGGAGGAGGAGGAGGAGGCTGATAAAGAGGCTTAACAAAAATAAAGAAACGAATAAATAAAAAGAGGCTTGGCGCTTGCTTTACCTCGGATGGACCAAGTCCAGCGGTAAAACTCCAAGGTGTCGTTCACCACGTTGGCTATGAGGCCCGGCTCTCCGGAGTGACCCATGGCTGGCCAGCTGGCGGGCAGGCAGGCAGGCGGGAGGGCGACTTTGCAGCAGTCGTAGCAGCGGCGGCGGCGGCGGCGGCGGCAGCAGCAGCAGCAGCAAAAGGAGGAGAAACCGGCAGGCTTAGCTTAGGTCAGCTCAGAACAAGCGAGTCTTTGGCTCCTGGCCGGGGCTGCTGCTGCTGCTGCTGCTGCTCCCCTCCTTCCAGGTGGAAATGAAATTTAAATCTCTGTCTCTGGGTGTCTATCTTCAGGCTCCGCCTCTCCGGGGACGACACCCGTGCCCGGGGCAAGGAGATGGCAAAAGGCAGAAGAACCGGCGCCGAAGCCAAGGCTGCAGCACCTTTGGGGATGGACCGTAAGCGCTTAGGCACGTGACGCTCTCTCTCTCTCTCTCTTCCCGCCCCCTCTTTCCGGGTGGCATCTCCCGGCGCAGGCGCCCGCCCTGCGCATCTTGGAGAGTCGATTCGCGCAAGGGATGCCCGGGCGCAGGGAACGGGTCAATCCCGGTCGCCTTCACTTAGGGTTGGAGGTGGAGCCCCCAAGGTACCTTGCGGTATCTTGCGAAGGCTCGCAGGGTGTGTGTGTGTGTGTGTGCAGGCGGCCCTGCCAACCGAGAAGCTAAGGCCAGTTACACCCCCCCCCCTCACATAGCTCGTGCAAATCCATTTATAAAATCTCAATGAAATAATGTTTAGTTCTGTATTGATTAATATGTTTGTAGTGATTGAAAAAGGGGAGGAACCTTTTTTGGGGGAGGGGGGGGAGATGCCGGATCCCCTCTGTATAATTGTTTCACCTTTTCCTCCGTCTCTGATCGTAGGAAAGGCAACAGACCATACAAGATACAATAAAGCAATACATCACATCTATGGACAAATATTGTCTTGGCAAAAGCCCCAGAACATCTTCTTAGAAAGGATGTTTCATCCTTCCGCCCACTGCTTTAGCTCCACCTAAACTTAAACCTTTTAAAGCCTTTAAATGGCATAGCTCACCAATGTGATATATACAGGGTAATGATATACCAGAATTCAATGACACCTCCTGGTCCTGGCCAGCTGAAAGGAAGTCCAGTTCCCATTCTGGGGCACGGAATAGCCTCCCCCCCCCAAACACCACTTTATAGAATGCCCTTCCCCGCCACAAAGTATACACGGCTTTCGCCTTTCCACAGTTCTCTATAAATGGATTAAATCTATTTTATTTCAAGATGCTTTGGGTTCCAAGTGATGGAGGGCGCCAATCTTGCAGTTGATCCTTGTTTTTCTTCGTTGTTGATGCTCATTTGGATTTTTTTTTTTTTTATTGTGGGGTACAGGCTTTTGGGATTTCAGTCATGTAAAACAAATAGAAAAACATAGGCAGCCATCAAAATAATAACCCTAACCTTCACCTCCCTCCCTTAAAGGGGCTCATTTAGGTATTTAGGACTTTAATCAATATGCGGACGATACCCAGTTGTATCTGTCCGCCCCGTGCCAACTAAGTGAAGCGGTTGACGTGATGTGCCAGTCCCTGGAGGAGGTCAGGGTCTGGATGGGGGTTGATTTGCTTACGCTCAATCCAGACAAGACCGAGTGGGTGTTGTGTTT